TTTTTATATTATAGGAAAAGGCAAAATAATTATCTGATAAAATAAACCATGGTCAAGAACATCAAATATAACATAATTCATTTGAAATGAATATGTTAAGAATAAAATCAAAAACAATATTAAAAAAAAATATTAGAATACATAAAATATTTATACCAGACACATAGGCCTTGGCCTGAAGTCATCCAAAGCAGCACTGAATTTTTTTTAAATAAGTTGTTTTGTGTAGTTTTTTTCGAAAATGTGAATAAAATTTAACTCCTAAAAAATATTCCCATAAAAATTTACCTCCCAATAAACTTCCATTCCACATTTTTTATTCCTAAATTTCGGAAGAAAATTCCTAAGTTGGCATCCCTGCCTTTACACTGTTTGTATAGGACTGATAAACTTATCAATGACAAGATAAGATATTGAAATTACGCTTTAGTTGTTAATTCATACAAATAATTAAAAATACGAAATATGCGAGTATATATTTTTTAGATTTGTGTTTTCAAATGATCTAATAAAATTATAACCCTCAATAATAAATAAATACGGAACATATTTCGTAACGGTGAGCGGAAGACGAGCGGCATAGATCCATCTAGCAAGGCGCCTCAGCGCTCTCTGTTCAACGTGTGGAGTTGGAAGAGAGCCGAAACAACGCCGCGGTGGCGCGGTGTTTTGGCCGTCGCGTTCGAATTAATTTTGATAAATTAAATTAATATTTAGAAATATCTTACATCAATCAACAAATTAAAACAACAATCCTTTTTATTAATATGTTCTACACCACTGATATTAATTTCATTAAGATTTGTTGATGTCGTTCATGGTTTTGAATTTCTCTTTTTTATAGTTTCAATTTTTTTCTATCGAGAAAATATATCGAGAATATGTTTTGGAAACAATGTTCCCTTAGAATGTACGATCAAGATTAACATATATTGTTTTTGCTGCTATAAAATGTGTAGATTTTGCTAAAAAATCTTTTGAAAAACCTATTTTTACTGCATACAGCGCCTTAATATAAGACCATCACATCGGATTTTTTTTGTTCCATTATGTTAATAATTGATTAAAACGTTTCTTTATTCTCAAATATAAAATTCCACAAATCAGAAATAATTCTTTCATTACAAAAAATACAATGGAAAACTAATTTGCTAATAGAAAACGTAATTTAATTGTACGTTCTCTTCATTACACATTGCTTTTACTGTGAGAAAGTTGCTTTAGCAAAATAGTGTTTTCCCTAGCTTTTACCTTACATAAAGGAAATCCTGTATTAACATGTTGCAACTAGTTACCATCATTAGATGAATTAAATTACTTAGTAAAGCTTTTCGTCGCTAGCCCATGTAATTCCATTTAACCATATAAACGTGTTCATAACTTTATGTTTATGAATTAGGTTCAAACTAGCACACAACATTTTGAACGTAGCGAAATGTTTTAAGTCTTCTTCTAACTTTAACATTTAAATATATGATGATTCTACTCAATTCTATTCAATAGTTATGGACTTTAATCGTCAACATTATGAAATTTTAACTCGAAATAAACAGTCAAACCCTCTCGCTATGTATCTCGCATAGTATAAAGACTAGAAATGCTAAAGCGAGCGATTACCTTTTGGTTATATATATTACTAGGTGCTGCCCGCGACTACGTCTGCGTTGAATAGGCTGCAGGCGTAAAATTCAGACAGAAAGACAGATATGCATAAAAATATGTATATAAATTATAGCCTATGTCTTATTCTGATGTATAAGCTATATTATTGTAAAGTTTCATTAAAATCCATTCAGTAGTATTTGCGTGAAAGAGTAACAAACATCCATCCATACATACAAACTTTCGCCTTTATAATATTAGTAAGGACTAGCTGATCCGACAAACGTTGTTTTGTGGAATTTCGTAAAAGCAATTCTTAGCTAACCTCTACTCGGCGAAATGAATATTCCTACAAATTTCGAGTATTCATTTATATAAATATAATATATCAATCAACAAATTAAAACAACAATATTAATATGTTACAATCTCATCTTACTCACAAGTCTGTCTATATTATCAATGTACATTTAACAAATTAAATATATATAAATAGTTACAATCTGTACTGTTTTACATCAATGCAAAACTGAATAAACAAAAACGAAATAAAATGATAATTTTCTTTTCGCGAACGCTAAAAAGCGAATTTCTTACACTTGTCGAAAATGCGACACTATTTGGAAGGTGAAAAAACAAAAGACTGGAGTTACACGAAAATAACAAGGACTGTTGTGTTGCTATGCGGCGGCATCAATGGGACTTAGTGCAACTACTCGCTAAAGCATTTCTCAGCGCCTGCGGCGTTTACAATTAGAGGGTAAGATGGCTAACGTGCCCTCGAAGGAGAAAATTGTTTTCCTCCCCGAAAGGTTTGTTAAACCTTGTGCCATCAAACGATATTATCGGCTTTTCCGTTCCATTTAGAATGCTATGAGCAATTGGGATGTAGAGGATTACGCCTTGTTTCCCTGTTAGCGGTGGGACTGGCATTGTTTCTGATTACACAGATAATAATTTTTCCCATAATCATTGTCGCTTGACATTGCGACGACTTCATTTTTCCCGATTCAATATCGATGTTTCGAATTAAAATTAAAAAAAATATTTTCATGCTACTGCATTGACAATTTTTTTTTATCTATGAGAAAACAGTTCATGTATCGAGTTAAAAAAGTAACACGAACGAAGTAACGAATTTATTGAACAAAAATATTAAATGTTAGTTTTACAATATTACACCGGTGAACAATCTCTGAATCTTGGACGGATCCATTAGAAAAAACAAAAGATTGTTTAAATCGCTAGTTCAATGATATTATATATTTATCATATGGCAGATATTTAGACAAAACATTGACGCACCTTAATATGTCTATAACTCAATCCAAAACCCCCCCCCCCCCCCCCCCCCCCCCCCCCCCCACAAAACCCCCCCCCAGGGGATATAACTCAATCCAAATCAGATTATTTCTTAGTAACATACAGTACATATACATAGGTATTTAAGATCGTATAGATTCCTTTGTGTTTGGTGCAAATTTCAAGAGTTAAGAACGATTTCAAGTCGGATATAAGGATATTACATCTTACTTAATTATTACTACCTTTTGTCTTTCCTTACGTCGATATATGCATAATAAACTAAAGCAACTGTATTCGAAATATAAAGTGCGGAAGTTTAACAAAGTTAGACGCTTTAAACTTCGCCTATATTAATATTATTGGGATCATGGGAGCACGATATTTCATTATGTCCATTTCGGTCTAACAAAAGCGTGGCCGCTGTGCCACAGATGTTGAATATAGTAGATATTAGTTCTGCCCCAAAAGGATGAGAGGTCGTGCAGCCGATTGAAAATTTAATTAATAAGGAAAAAGAAACGTAGTTGAAATTGAGCAATCGAGTCGAAGCGTATTCTTCCTTTATTTTTCTTTTTGTTTATTATAGAACAAATATATATTATCAGTGTTTATAGATTGGTGAAATTCCCGATTATTTCAAACGAAAAGAAATTAACGTGTTAAATGACACAAACCTATAAACGCTCATGTCTTTTAATCGTGTAAGATTAGACAGACATATATTTGTGTACACTAATACTATTCTCTACCGAGCTCGTTTAATCACAAACGTGACAAAAAAAGGATAACAAACAAATATACCTCACTTTGGACTAATAGTAGAATCTAATTCTAAATCATAAATTAACCAAAGTTAATATTTGATTAATACTTGGAAATTTAAATTTCCTAATTATAATTTTCACATAAAAGAAGTACTATCGTACAATATTAACAAATTGATAATAATCATGACTACTACATTAATATGAACATATTAGTTCTTTATTACAGTAACCATTCTCACTAGATACAAAAAACAAGTTTGATAAGATTTTAATTGGTAGCACAAATTTAATGTATTCTTTTAACTTTTTCAATTACATTAACTTAATACAAGTATAGAATTACGTAGCAATATTCCGATGCTGTGAGCATTAATTTAAACGGATCTTTTGAGGGGAAGAATTTTGAGTTACCCTTTTTATTAAACGTTATTCTGTTTAATGCTTTATTTTTCACAACAAGAAGCGATCCACTGAAGGGGAGACTTGCTTGTTCGCTGCCCTCCAAAATCGGGATAAAATATTATTTTTCAAAGCCATAGACTATGTAAAATATTCCTATGCATTAGTGGAACAATACCGCTAAAGTGGCGCCGAGAAAAACACCCAGAATTTTCTTCACTGCCTTTCTAAAGCTACCGTATTAATCATACTTAAGATAAATCCGCCGAAGATGGCAGGTGTAAATAATCTGCGCGTTTCACGAAATACAAATTTTCATTTTGATATTGGCCTAATTTGGGTTTATTCAGTAAAATTTTATATTCCCTTAGAAGCCCTTGCGTTAGTTTTTAATTTTATAATGAGCGTAGTGGAAAGTAAATGTAAGAAGGAAGTGAAAGCCAATAGTCCTGTGCACCAGTATAGAAGTTATATATTTTGAAAATTATAGTATATTTACATTTATAGCTTCTATTGTCACGCCACATATAACCCTAACGTTGATGTTATCTGATTGTTACATTTAATCAAAGATTAACCTCGAACACTGGTAGGTACTCGTGTTGTTCGTACTCGTAAAAGTCCTATGACGGCACACTTGATCGGATTTAACTAAGACGTGAGGTATGACATTCCTGTTGAGCGCTAACGGCTGCATTGTTAAAGCTCTAAAAATAATCGTGATGTTTACGGTCTCGTACCCGTCCCGTTTCTGAACGAAGTGTATAGCTCAGGCGCCGGTCCGCAACGTCAGTCGTCCATTTAACCGCAAACTGATATACGGGGACAACGCAGCGCATTAGAGGCCGTTAATTTTTTATTTTTTTATTATTAAATGGCTTAAGAAGAAAAGGTTTTACTAAAAAAAAAATATCTATCGACGTCAATATGTTGACAAAACATTTTCGGAGTTGTATATTTGCTTTGCTTTTGGGTGGTTGGATTAAGGGTGAGTTTAATTTTATATTTTTTATCCCAGCCTTCAATCATTTATTAACGACTGGAAGAAAAACAACAAATGTTAATAAAAGATTAAGCCATGAATACTCATAATTCTTACTTCATTTGGGAGTTAATTATTAGTACAAGTTTTGTCGAATACATTTCAGTTTGTGTAAATACACTAAATTAATTTATTAATTGTTTTTAAATCTTTCTTTTTATTTTTTATGTTGCACGAGAATATGTGAAATAGATTTAGTATTTAGCATACATATTTCATTTCAATGTCATTATCATTTTTATTCAGATAATTATCTGTGGTAGGTATGGCAGGAAATTGCGCATGAACCAAATATGTCTCGCCATCTCCCCATGGACCTGCGTTAGGTGTTAATGCATTATGTATTCAATATAAGCGTGTATTGTTAGATTAATTGTATTCATCGGGTGTTTCGGGGCATTTTATTGGCAGATGAGTGATTGTTTTTTTTTCCTACAAAATACTAAAAGGGTGTTTCTTTAAACGATAGTTCTTTTATTTTAATAGGCGTTAAAATAGTTTATTTTCAGCATATTGTACTTAAGTACTGTAAACGATGATTTGTCATTATTCAAATATTTCCTCGCTAGTTTCGTATTTTACGCATTTATCTAAAGTACATAAATAAAGAGCAATTACAAAACGATTAGACGAATATCCAATAAAATCGAAGTAGAATAAATCACAGTCGCGTGTGATCAAAAACTGTGACGACGATCATTGAATCTCGTTTTCGATTCTCATATATCTTTTAAAGAGTACAACTTTAAAGTATGAGCATTTTGTTTTAACTCCTTGTTGCTGTTTAGCCTCGATTTCATAAACTTAAAAGAAAGGTGTGGCAATCAGCTGCTTAGCTTAGTGGCCCCGAATGCCGTAGACGTGGGTTCGACTCCCACAGCGGCGACAATGTTTTCGTACTTTTCCTACAACTTTTAAAGTTTTGTTAAGTTTAGTCACATCTAAGTTTGTGGGTTCGAATCGGGAGAGCTTTTCCAACTCGAACCGCTATATTACTCGCAAGTTTTATTTTTTTAAACGAAGAAGCATGGCATAAACACCAAATAAGTCTTAACAATGGGGGTTTTTCTCTTAAAATAATAATTAAATACCTCTTGGTCTAGGTATTTAATTATTATTTTAACATAGGAGCCGGACTATAAGTTAGAAATTAATACTTGCTCACATATAGGTCCTTAAATTAAAAAATTCAATATGGTAAACGTTAAATAAAAAACTTTTGTGAACGTTGGATATTTTTGCAATGTCAGAATTTTCTATTCGTGTTCAAACGACTATTATAAAAACGCGTAACACAATACAAGAAGAGTGTATCAAACGGCAATTTGATGCGTTCGGTCACCATCTAGTTGAGCTCGTTAAACGCAACGTGACGTTACCAATTCCTAAAATTATGTCCGCCATATTGGTGTCATGGCGGCGTCAAATTAATATCAAAGGGTTTTGTACACTGCGCTGAAGCTACAATATTTAGGGTGACAGGCAATTAAAGCAAGTTAACATGGAGGAAATCTGTCTGGTACATTGAACAATATTTTAACTATATTCTTTATCTATATTTCTTCAAGGTAATTTATTGAGTGAGAAATGAAATTAAGAAATTTTTTAACAATTTAATCATACATTCAATTTGGATGATGGAAATCCCTTTTCGGATAGATAGTACATCCGCATCTATTAGTAAAATGTAGCTGTAGAATGAAGTTGTTAGAATCTAAAATTTTCGTATTAGCACTAAGCTTTAACGCCACGTCAATGTATAGTACAATATTTATGTATATCCTATGACCATGTCTTCTGAAAGACCTTCGAGACTAAATCATTTTTAAGCATCGAGGAAATTATTTTAAAGTACCTAAATTACTCTTAAGTGTGCCTCTGTGTATGTAGAGAACAAACATATTTCGTTTAATATATTTTAATAGCTTACTAAACATGTTTTAGGATCTCTGATTCAGTGACGGCATAATGCCTAGGCTTTTCGATTGAATGTCTAGGATTTGATTTTTGTTCCATTGTCACATATTCGAAATAGCAATGTCATTAACAACCGATGTTGGCGCATTTAGAAGCGTTGCCTACCTAGACTGTACATAATCAAACGTAACTTTATCTCATTCCTTGGATTATGTTACCGCCGCATTTGATACGATAAGTACGAGGTTCGTAAGATATCGCGTAAACAGCTGACTATTGCTGTTAGCGTTTCACCAACTGCGACCAAAGGTTAATCAACGTCCATCTAAATGAAACGTGTACCACGGGCCGACGCGTCACGGTTTAGCTTTGAATTGAATGTGCACAAAACAAACGCTTGCGCGGCGCTAATTAATAGCGCCAGTTATGTATAGCGACGACCAAAATCAACGGCGGTTTGGCAATTGTTTAAATCGACCACGACTCTGGCTTTTGCGTTCATCAGCACACCAACGAAATAGCCTACATTGATTAACATACAGGCGTTGAATGATAAATTAAATGCTGAAAACGTTTCAAGCCTATCATTGTGACAATGCTAACAGACGCGAACGGGAACGTTTGTATTTGTTTCAATAGAATGTTTGCTTATTATAAGCGACATTACTTTGCTGCAGACGGACAATTTAAAATAAGGTTTCATTTACACTTAAATCTCTTTCCATACAAAATTTTATTTAATGGAGACTTTTATAGGCTAATTATTTCGTGTTATTAAACGAATAATGGCCAACGTAAAAAGCACGTCAAATTAGAGGCGTGGTAATGTTTTCAACGCTTATAAAATTGACAATCTCTTGTCATCTCCTAAAGGCACTTGACTTTGACTCTAATAATATTCAAGTGCGTACGATCTTTCAATAAAGCGAGTTCAATTTCTTTCGTCTCGCGTCCCGAGGAAGTTATGTGTGGTTGCATTCAAGGCTAATATATTTCCATTTAATTATGACGGAGCGACATTTGGTGATCAAACTTGAATTGATAAGTAGTTATGGACTCAAATATTCTCATAATTTCAAACAAAGCAAGAATCCAAAGAGTGCTTCTGAAACCCCAAAAAAAATCATGGGTACTAGTAAATTTTAAATATATTCATAAAATATGAATTTTATTTCAACGGCTGTATCAGTAATTATTTTGAATAATATTACAATACTAACTTGAAAAAGTATTTAACAGCTACACTAACGTTTTTTTAAAAAATGTTGAATATTAGCTAAGAAAGAATTATATTACTACGATTCTTTCCACTTTCAAAATATGAGATTTCTTTATGTAACCATAGATTTCAAAGTTTGATTTTATTTTAATATATGATGCATGGCAATATACCAGCTTTGCAAGGGCATCACCCCTATACGCTTTTCAAAGTGCTAATTCTTTCACTCTGGGAGAAATAACATTAAATTGCGGAGGTCTACTCTCCCAATGCTTTTCTACTAACGAACCGATAATTCAGGGGGAGGGCGATTCGTCCATTTTCTTTTAGTTTCTCGTGGCATCTCCGATTATATTGTTGGCAACATTTATTTCTGTTTATTTACAATTTTTCTCTGCAACAGTTTTAAAAATGTTGTTCCATCAACTCTAAAATTCGAGAAATCACAAATATCTCGTATTCAATCGTTTTGAATTTTTCTTTTCTTTGGAACAATAACGCCATCACGTGTTTTTTTTATTCTTGGAAAAGTATATTAGAACATACATTGTTGGGTATACCTTATACAACAATTCAAAGAAATGTTAAATATCTTGTTCGATGCATTCTAAAATTTAAAAGTCAAATAAACGGACCATTAAATTCATTATGCATTTGTTTTGTGTCCATATGTACGGTTTAATTGTTAAGCCTGTCACTTACACTCACATTTAATGGATATGAATCGTATTTGTAGATCTCTTTTTAATCGCAAGAATCAATTATCATGTGTTGCGTTTGAGACAAATATTTTGTTCTGATGATACTGTCGAATATTTCGTCAATAGAAATAAAAGAAAAACAATTTACGAATTTAACATTAACTTATGATTTAAATTTGTAGAAAAAAGACGAAAAGATTTTCAAAAGACGGGAATCGAACTCAAGTCTTCCGGATTCCTGCCCACACGTTTTAAACCCTAAACTAAATGGCCGATTGCCACACCGAATAAAATCTCAAAGTCTTTAATCTAAATCGTTTTTCGCATTTCAAGCGCAATGCTTGGCGTATCTTTTGTATCTATCCATTACAGCATACAATTTCAGAGAGATCTATACATCTCGAAAGAGAGATATATCCATTGCTATATGAAATTTAAACTTTTAGAGATTAGCACTACATTCTAAAATTTAACTATACTTATAGTATCAGAGTCACTATTTGTAACAAAATGCGTTCCGTAATCATTTCGACCTTGTAACAAGTAGCCTGCTGAAGAGGAAGGAATGTGCGAGAACAGACAACCCGCTTAATTTGTTATATAAATTAAATTATTCATCCTCGACTCCAGTTCAGCACGGTTGTTTAATGCCAATTGCTGTAAAACTGCGTACAAACAGCAAATCGTCATGTTTTGGAATAAACATGATGTCACATCTTAATCTCTACTTATATCCTGTGGTCTGATTCCTTAACAAACTGTCAAGTGAATGAGTCACTATTGCAATTGTGGTGGAACATAATTTACCTAATGTTTTTATCTTGTGTTTTAAAGTTGTTTTATTTTAAATCTTGTAATTGCCATCATATGTCCATAAAGTCAATTCCACTAAAAAATTGTTCTCTGACACCAATTTGTACAGTTATTTTTGTAATTTAACATCGTTTTAGAATATTTTGAAAGTAACTACAGCAAGATAAGTTGCATAAAATCAAATGAACGCTAAGGTTTACACATTTGGCTGCGTAGCATGCATGTAAAATCAGTCACTACTGATTACTGATATATAAAAACATACAATCGATTTAGGAGACCTACCTATCCCTAAACGCAGTAAACAATTTAGTGCCTGCTAATTCTGATGCTTGATTGTTGGTATTTAAGTAACGTGCGATTTTTGACGAGTGACTTATGGAGTCAGTTATCGGCTGCGGTATTTCTGGACAAATACAACTTAAAGGCTTCCAAGCGGGGAGCCTGTTCCTACCTCAAAGACCTATAACGCATTAGTTACTAATCGTGTGTTGCAAATAACCATGTAATATTTTCCAAAAAAATATATTTGCATTTGCTAGCTGCCGAAAAATGAATTTCCATCGGTATTTTAACAAGTTACTTTAAAAATTTTGATTTAGTGTCTGCGTCTAGTGTATTCGTTCAAAACAACGTACCAATATATACGATCTTTAAAATTACAACACACTTGTATCAATTATTCGAAATACCATAAATCGAAACTGTCAATTCATTTTCCATTTTCTAGACAAGTAAAAAAATATATCTCAAGAGAACAGGCCTTAAAACCAGAGATATTACCGAAGAAAGATGTACTTTAAAGAAACGTAATTATATAATCAACCGTTCTTCCGCTAGACTCTACATCCTGTACTTTCTTTTGTACGTGTCATGTTTAATAAAGTAAGTGTTAGGTAATTGATACAAAGGAAGACGAATTGTGCTCGGAATAATATATATTACAATGAAAAATCTTAGTTGGTTGTACTCTGTGTATTTTTGAATACCCCACGAGTTTGTTATTAACGTTTGACTTCATTGCTTATGTGAGATCATGGTAAGCGAGAAGGCAGGTTTTACCAAATGTTAAGTGATTACCGCCACCCGTGGACTTCTAGAATACTTGTGGGGTTGAATGCATTACCAACCTTTAAAATAGTCCCCGGTTCCCTCACTTACCAGAAGAAATGCAGCAGTATAATAGTTCTACTTCACACCTGCCGTTTGTGAAGCCGTTCTACTTCCCAAAGCTGCACCACCGTCTCAGCCTCGAAGGAGACTAGTTTAAAACGAAAATATTTACACTTGCATTTATTATGATAAGGTTACAATAACCCACTGTTTTTTTAACGCAACTTCAAATCTACAGGTATTGTACTAAATGTACAATGTATATACAAATTTAATGTGCCTGTGGTAATTGCTAAACATCAGACGATCCACCAGTTTCTTGTTATGAGTAAAATTAAGTGAAATGATATCATCTTTTTTGATCATTGACGATCCGATTGGCGTGGGGAGCAGTGACCCTGCCTCTTGCACCAGAGGGTGTGGGTTCGATCCCAACTACTGGAAAAATATTGTGTGATGAACATCGTGTTTTTCCAGTGTCTGGGTGTGTATATATGTATAATATGGATTTATTTACAAAAGAAAAGTATGTTTAAGTATGTTTATCACTTTTCTAGTACCCATAGTACAAGTGTTGCTTAGTTTGGGACTAGAGAACGTTGTGTAAAAGATGTGTCCGAAAATATTTATTATTATTATTATTATCCTCAACTGATGACCTCAGAAGGAGGGCGGCGTATTTCGGGCGGCCTTAAAGCCTATATAAATATGGATCATGGGGCACGCAAGTCACAACGCCTGAACCAAAAATAGTTCTTCGCGGAAATGATTCTTATCATTCACGTGTAGCTTGCAATGTATTGTTATTATCAACAATTCCTGATTCTTGTTTAAGAAAAAATAAACATGTGCAGTGATACAATAGGTTGGCAAATAAGTGATTGCGGATTTCAGTTATACATTTTCTTATTTTAATTGGAATTGATGTTAAACCCACCATACATAGCCGTTATTTCGTCTGTATATTTTCATAATACGTTTTAATGTCCACGAATGTCAAATGCTTAACGGAATCTAATACACATATTTCTAACCTTTATTATGATAAAATTAAAATGATAAGTGTTTTCTATTTTACCTTTTACATACTTTTATAATCTCCAGAAAGTACAATGGAAACAAGTGCCCTTCTTTTTTATTTTATGACCTCTTTAACACGCCTTAAATTTAAGCTTAGCCATAAAACAATAGTTATGATCTCACTGGAACGCACATGATGCGTAATGTTCATTCCTTGTTAAGATTTTATTTGGTTCTTAATTTTTTTTTATTGGTGTGTTGTAAACCACTATCAACATGTATTGTCGTAATTAAAAATAAAATATAAGGTGTATAAAATCGAAACTACTGAAATTTTATGAGTGATGTATTAAAATAAAATTTTGAAAAATAAATAAATAAAATATTTAGCACACATTTTTACACAACGTTCTCTAGTTACAAACTAAGCGACGCTTGTACAATGGGTGCTAGGTAACTGATAAACATTCTTAAACATACTTATCTTTATTATAACTATATAAATACTAAAAAATAAATATATGGAAAAACACTATATGTTAATCACACAATATTTTTTCAATAGGGCGGATCGAACCCACACCCTCTGGCGCAAGAGGCAGGTTCACTTTACATACTGTTTCTTTCTTCGCTTCTCTCAAAAACAAAAAAATCATGACTTTAAAATTACTTGCTGATCTTTTACCCACCGATGGATTAAGCTTCGAAATTACTACTAAGTTACGGGTTCTACTTTGAAACTAGACAAACCTAGTTTAGATTTATTAGAATTCTGTATGTAAATCGGTAAAAAATATAATCCTTATAGGATTACTTTCCTGTCTATCCGTTTGTCTGTACATCTTCTTTAAAGCCTTTTCATCAGCAAGGAATAATCACCTCCTTCCTCCTCTTGTTCCTCCGCCTGTTCCTCCTCCTGTTCCTCCTCCTGTTCCGCCTCTTGTTCCTCCTCCTGTTCCTCCTCCTGTTCATCCTTCTGTTGCTCCACTACTGTGTGTCTTGAAATTTATGTCAAGTACTTAGGTAAAAAAGTTTTACGCGGTATAAAAAAATATTTTTTAACAAAAACCGAGTTTAAAAAAACTTTATTAGCTCTAAAAAGTTTATGATAATACTAAATCTACTTTAATCAAATCTTGAAAATCTATCCTATATAAACTAACCTACCTAACCAAAAAAAAATTTAACAATTTTGGAGTCGGTGCATTTGTTCACCATTGGTGAAAAGTTTAATGCATTTATTGTATTAAAAATATAGATTCAAATAAAAGACGTTGAAACTTACTTTGTGTATTTAAACTACTCGCCAAACTAAAAATAAATCAACGTTCTATATTTAGTAAGATAAAGTAAATAATTTTAAAGATATAAAATCAAATGCTATTCGCGTTAGGTTTCTTATAAACAGCCAAACATCAAAGGTTCATGCTACTACTCAACTCAGAAATTAATGTCATGATCAAAGAACTCAGTTGTCTTCAACACGAAGCTAGTAAATAGCTCACTTGATTGTGTAATGTTGAAATATAACGTTATGCCATACATATTCATATTCAGCGATAAGATCAGAGCAGAACACGGTAGAGTAAGGCCAGCAACCATTCCGTACAGTCACATAAAATCTATGTATAGTAAATAGATATGGAAAAACTTTAAATCTCTATTTTCTGTAGATTTGTTACTAAAAAGTAATGTAACCGTTTGTATATGTCCCATTGTTGGACACAGGCCTCTCAATAAAGGATATTAGAGCAAGCATAGTCTACAATGCAACTTCACCGCCGATTGGCTATTAATCTATTCACTTAAACTATATATCACTTATAACATATACTTTTTTCGTGGGTAAATTTTGCATAGGATACCTATCCACCAAGAGAGAATAGAGAGGTTATGTCGGATTCCTACCGACTAAAACCCCACGTTAGTCACCTTCAGTTCTGATCAGGGCACGGGACCTTCTAAAGCCTTTGACACACTAAGTAGCCCATGCTCGGGAATATACTCACTATCCCAAGTATGTGCGCGATGATGAGGATCATGATCATGATCGCCAGAAGCTCCCAGAACCCGTTCAGTTAACGGAGCCAGCCTGTATAATAAAAAATGTAAAGTATACTAGCTATACCTGACCACGCTTGGGTGTACCTCTTTTTCTTTTCTGTTAAAATTTCATACTTAAAAGCAGATTAAAACACTTTTCCTTTAAATAGATATACAAAATCAATTTAATGCATCGGCTAGTTTTTTGAGTTTTGTTTTTTTTTATGTGACAAAATGGCAAACGAGCTGGCGGTTCACCTGATGTTAAGTGATAACCGGTGCCGATGAACAATTGCAATACTCATAGGGTTGCAAATGCGTTGCCACCTTTAAATAAAGTGAGCCCCGGCTACCTCACTCACCAGACGAAACGCAGAACTGTAACACTTCTACATTACGCCGGTCTTCTGTGAGGTCGTGGTACTTACCCGGTGCCCCGCTGCCCATTCGTGCAACAGTGTTGCGTGGTCCTACCACCATTACCATTTACGGACACAGACATACGGAGGCTAAATTTACTTATTTATACAAATATTTAGCCTCCCTTTACTTTATAACTCTTTAGCAAACGTGTTAGTATAGTAGTATAGTATATAAAGTTAGTTTATATGTTTAAGCCAAAATCCAAAATTTTTAGCTTATATAGTTTACTTATAAAAATAAGATGTTTTACTTGTCCACCTCCAGTTTGTTTCTAACGAAAATTAGGACAACCCTCGTCAACGTCACTCTAATGTGTGAAATATTTATTAGTATAAAACTGAAATAAGTTCCGTAAATTATTTGCTTATTTATGTATCTTTAATATGTACTTTTTTTACATATTCAACTTTTACTAGACATATATCAAATTTTAAACTGTGTTCTTTAAACATTACACATTTTTACAGAATGTATTACATGTTTCACGGACGATGAGTCAGAAGTAGCGAAAGTTAAATCGGGAAGTTCGTTTTATCAAGAATGTAGATGCGAGGAACCTGGTCCATCTGGCATGGTTTTGAAATGGTTTGATGTAAATGATCAAGAAGTACAAGAATTAGGGTAAAACATACTTATAATATTGCCTTTATAATTTTTATTTCTCTGTTTTTCCTAAAGTTAATGATTTTTATAAGACCAGGTACAAAATCAAACATATATTCGGAATGGCTGGATCGAAATGTGTATGGACTGTACATATCTAAACTAACTAAATCAATATCTGGAGCATACAAGTGTGTCACAATCTATAATGGCCAACAATACATGAAAGTTTTCAACGTGGAAGCTTACGGTTAGTATTCAGATACAATTAAAATAAATAACATTACATATTAAATTGATAGTAAAATTTAAATAAACTATTCGCTGCAGATCCACCATACTTCGTCAACACAGAAGAAATGCAATATGTGGTTAATGGAAAAGATGAACTAGTAGTTTGTGAAGCTAGAGGAGAGACTGATCCATTTATAAGTTGGCATAAAAATGAGGATGGTTTTATTGAGGTAGTATTGATATTGCTTTAAATAGACTGCAAATCACCCTTTATTTTAATAAATCACAATTGTTTTAAAAAATGAATTATGTATCACAATATTTGTTTTCAGATATCTGATGATGACAAATATGAATTGATTTCTTCAAGGGGGCTCGTTATTAAAAATGTGACTAAGGAAGATCGTGGTATATATAAATGCACGGCTTCTGACTTAGAAACTGGCGAAGGCATTGATAGAGACATCAAAGTAGAGGTAATATATGAATTTAAAAAGAAATTTAATAAAAAGTTTGTATATATGAGTAAAAGCTACGTAAAATAAAGCTTTTAACTCCTCATGGCCGATAAAAGAAGCATTATAAAATATAGTATTCATAACACTAAGTAATATAGTTATATTACTAATATGAGTAATGTAATAAAAATAACTTTAGTTTAAAAACTAAAAATTTTGGATTGAAAATTTAATAATTTGATTTTCAGGTAGCTTACATGCCCACCATCGACGGCCTTATAGCAACACCAGAAACAACAGTCATTGTTGGAGAATCTCTAACCATAGAGTGTGTTGCCAATGGAATGCCTCATCCGGAATATATGTGGAGAAAGGTTTCAGAGGCAGTTAGTAAATTTGTACTTAGTAAGCAGGAAATAAATTCTTGAGATGATATTACTAAAATAGCTCGATACAAACGAAATGAAATAAGTTGACTTCGGCACAAAGATTTTCATTAGCATCGTAAACGTTATGAAACGTTGATGCACTATGAATTAATGATACATAAAATGAAATATACAAAGTTTTATTGTGCATATTAAATTTAAAAAATACGCCAGTGTTTTAATTATTCTCGGATTTTGTTTTCAGGAACCTTCTGATGTTAATGTGACATGGCACCAAATAACAAACAGCATCTTATTTGATAGTGTCGTTGCAGGAGATAGCGGAATATACGAATGTACTGCTCTTAATGGCGTTGGAAATGCAACCAAAACAATAAGTATTGAAGTAAATATTATTTTATTTAATACACTATATCAAGTTGTGAGAATATTTACTAAATCATTTTTAGAACGATTTAATGTACGCTGATGAACTTATTATAATCCACCATCCCTATAAGATACCACTATATCTTTGTTTTGATATCATTACTAAAAAATGAATTTTGCCTTAGGTATCTGGCATGGACAATAACAAGCTATGATTATATAGGATGTTTAATTACAGGTATTAGTGCCACCCAAAATAACACAGTTCAATAACATATCAGTGCACGAAGGTGAATCGCCACAGATAGAATGTAAAGCAACCGGGAGACCAAGACCTAAAATTACAATTACTTTTGAAGGAGATCCATCGGATAATAACCGAGGGTATTTATACCAAGTAATCTAATGAAATAAAAATTCTATTGATTTAGACTGATATCTATCGATAAAAGAGCAGACACGTAATTAATTTCAAGCATAGTGCTTTAATTTTAAATAAAATTTAAAATGAAATAAATGTGTTGCACAGAATATCCTGGAACGTGCGGAATACGAGTCAATTTGAAACAATATTTCAATTATCATTTAGCCAAGCATTAAGGACACACCAGGGATTCTATTATTGTAATGCAAGTAATGAAGGTAAGATACACATATTACTTGAACATTACTTTATAGAGTTTTAACATTATTTTATGAATTGCGCTTGCCATATTTTCTTTAGAGTTTGAGTTAAAATGGCATTGAGACAAAATATAAATTTTTGCTGCATTTAACTTTTATTCAAATATATTACGACCTACCTACTTTTTGTCGCGGTTACTTTCGCTTCAATTTATGCTTTGCAACACAGATAGAAAAAACTGAATTTGCAACAGATAAAATATTACACGTATTTTATATTAAAGCTGCACCCCTATTGTTATAACATTCAATGATACAGCTTTATAGTAGTAAAAAGCTCGGAGGTGGTAATGATTTCAATTACTACCAATGACATTCTAATAAACAGACAAGTAAATTTTGTTCCTTTACTACATTATTATAGAAGGAAAGAGACCAAACTAATTAACACTCATTTTATATTTTTGCAATTTGTTAGTCGACTTCACGATTGAGGAAATGTATATGTCAGTGTCGCATAAGCCATATTTCGATAAACCATCGGAGACACTGTGGGCTTGGACTGGGAAAACGCTAAATTTAAGTTGTGAGCATGAAAGCAATCCAGTGTCCCAAATGATTTGGAGGTATACACCATTCATTAAAATTTAACTGATAATTTTCACACATGAATGTTAATACAATAGTGTTTAATTACAGATATCAAGGCAACGATATATCAACTGCAGAGCAAGTTGAAATCATCAGAATGTTAGAGGAAAAAGTTAAAAATGGCTTTGGGTTATACTTACCTCTCGATATAGACAAACCATCTCATTATGGTATTTACGAATGTATTGCAAGGAATGAATATGGGCAAGCAACGAAAACAATAACTTTGCAAGAAGCGTTTACCCCACCAGCTATTAAAAATGTGTGTAATTAAGTCTTATTTCTATCATAAGTCCATATTAGAATAATTTTTTCAACATAATAAACAATACAGTTATTTATTATGTTCGAAATATAACAAAGTTCCAAAACTAACCGTGATTGTCTTCATTTATTTCTCTATATGTACAGGTAAATTATGAATTCAAGATATCAGTAATCAATAATTACCTCTGAACAAAATTTGAAATTATCTACATTTCACCACAGTTGAAAGTCTGAGTGTAATGTCATAAAGTTAGTTCTGTTACGTTTAAACGTTACATATTACATAAAAGCACAATGGAACTAACTATACAACATCAGGGTAAACTTTACGAAACTGGAATAATTTGTTAATCTTCAGGTGACAATCGTGGAAGTAACACAAACCTCTGCGACGTTCGCTATTATTGGGCCAACCGAAATAAATGGCCCGAACGTAATCGGGTTTACAGCTGAATACGACGAATCAGACAACTATCAGATCACCGACATCCACATCAATAGAACTTGGTCCATAGATAGACCTTACAAAGTGGACAAATTGAAACCGAATACAACGTATTATATCAAGTTTGCAGCTGTAAACGACGTTGGTGCGGGGCAATGGAGCGAAAGTTTGGAATTTATTACCCTCGAGACGTGAGTTTTAATAAATTTATGCCTTCAACTTTGCACCCACCTTGTTCTTCTAAATATACTCTTAGCAGAAGTTATGCTTAAAACAATTTCTGAAGCAACAAAATTGGGTTAACCTATGAAATTAGCGATTTTTAATAGAGACTAGTGTGTCGATATGCCTCGCTTTAATTAGAATTCCAAAAACAAATTAATTTTACGTGGGCTGTAAAATTTCTTAAAAAACAATAATATGCTAACTAATACCTACTTTCCTTTTTATGGAAGAAATTGTTATAACTTTGAAAGACGAATAGAAATGAAAAAAAAATATTTAAAGTGTATATTATAAAAAATAATTATTTTGACATATTTAAAGTGTTGAAGATTACCTTGGTAATTCATTACATAAACAGATTTTCTTACAACGTTATTTAAACAGGTTATTATAAAAATATCACTGGCGAAGCTAATTTAAGATAAGCAATAACATTTTATTGTTACGGTTATTGTTAAAACCAGTAGCCAAATGAAACAATTTACGTAACAAATAGCGTAAATACAATTTATCTCAGTGTAATTAGAAATAAGATACGCCCAAGCGCTGTTAACTTTAATAGAATTACTAAAGGGTGTTGAAATTTAACCGAGATAATGCCTATATTCCCTTTTAATGATGAGAATTAATAAACACTAATTTTTAAGTGATGGCACTTGGCTAAGCTAGGTCATAAGCTTTTTATTAGTTTTAACAAGTTGCTGTATTTGAAATTACTTCACTATAATTTAACAGTTGTTTTCATAATATTGTAATGATTATTGTAAGTGTCGTTTTAGTGAGTAAAATCTCTTAAAAAAATATATCATGAAGAAGAATAGGAGAAAAAAAAAAACCAAAAAAATAAGAGCAGTAGGTGAAACGTAGAATCATCATCACTTTTGATTTCTGTAACAGAATCCTATGTAAACCAACACTAGTTTAGTTACATGTACAAGCCTTATAAAGTAGGGACCTCATTCATTACGTTACTTATAAGAAAGTCCTTGTGAAACGTGTAGAAACAGCAAAGTAATCCCTAAATATACAATGGAAATAAAAACTCTGCAAATTGTTTTATAAATACAATCTTTATTCTTTTCTTAAATAAGAAAGTGGAACACAATAACTGACAGTCTATATTATATATCCCAACTTAGTTCAAAAGCGTCCTCTGTACCCTTTCTACCCCCTCATGATACGGGCCACGTGAGCCCATCGGCTTCCTCATGCTTTTTTTCCCGCAACGGAGAGCATGTGATCATTTAATTTTAATAAAAAAGTAACTTACATTTTTTAAATTTAAGTTACTTACGTTATTAAATGTCACATTTTAGACAAGAGCCGTTATAGGTCGCTTTTAATTCATTATGTTCAAATCTCGGTACCAGCACCAAAAAATTGTTAATTGCATATATTCGACATGACAACAAAGAAAAAATTTCGAATATAATATGTGAAGTCTGCAATCCGCAGTGGGGCAATGGCTGCAATCGCGAGGTGGACTTTACCATAATGCTCAGTTAATAAACTTTTTTTTGAATACTTTGAATCATTAATATACAGGATTTAAAACACTGAAAGAATTTCTATTTCAATAGGTTCGCTCCCAATCCACCAGAGTGGAATACGGAATTAGACACAATTATAGCTACAGCGTATAATCAGGTGATAAGCTGGAAAATGCCCGAATATATTGGGGAGCCGATAGACTACTACGCTTTGCGTTATTGTCCGGTAAATAATTATTAAATTGATATTCTATATATAATTTAAATAATGTAAATTTTATTGTGCATATATTTTATACTTTACTTCATTTCTGCAAAAAGGAATACGAACGTAAAGAGTTTAACTCTGGTAGGGCCATGCAACAGTCTTGTTGCACGAATGGGCAGGTCCGTCTGCGTAAGTACCACGACCTCACAGAAGACCAGCGTGCAGTGGGAGTGTTATACGTCTGCATTCCGTCTGATAATTAAGGCAGTCGGGGTCCACTTTATTAAAAGGTGGCAACGCATCTGTAACCTTCCGGGTGTTGCAAAAGTCAACGTGTGGCGGTTATCACTTAACACCAGGCCAGTTCGTTTTCCAGGTGGCAAAAAGTGAGTAAATGAGAAGGTTCTCATATAAGAAAAGAGAGAATGTCCTGGTAACTGAAGAATTCAATCATATTTCAGAGTTTCGGATATCTTTCTAAAATTTCAAATTTATGCTTGTTTAGAGAGTAAAAGTGAGGTAATTAAATCAAATTTAATGCAACAAATCCTATTTCTTATTCAAGATGATGAACAGCTTGATCGAAGAGGATTTGTGTGAAGAAAAGATTATCAAATCGACTGAGTTTCAAGTAACCGGTCTCCAGTTTAACACGACTTACTATTTCGAATTGATTGCACATAACTCGCAGGGAAACTCATCTGCGTCTCATCTCTATGTCATTATGCCAGGTAAAAATAAAAAAGAAGAATTTGTTAGCACTGAGTTGAAGACTTGTAATTTACCATCCAGTCGTTTTACTTTCAGCGGAAGGCTTACAACCGATATTATCGGGAGGTGCTATTATCGGTTTATCAATATTAGCCGTATTCATTGGTTTGCTGCTTCTTGATTTACTTCTTCTTCTATGGCGGCGACAAGGAATTATGGCTAACTGTTGTTTTAAGCAGAATAAGAAAAGAAGAGAGGATGCTCTGAGATCTAGGTAAGATTACGCCATTTTATATCTTTCAAAAAATCTCTTACTTAAAACTTCTGCCGGGATTGATAAATATGAATGACTATAAAATAATTTATGTTTATTCCAGGGATAAGAAAGGCCTCCTTAATAATGGAGAGTCAACTTCGGGTGACAGTTTAAAAAGGCCTAATAATGGGCACAAAGAATACGAATATGATAAAACTACAGGAGTAATTACTGGGAAACACTCTGCTGTTTGAGTTCTCGCTATCATTAAGGTTATACTAAGTTTTAATATAACAGAGGGCGGACGGGTCAATGATTAACGTATAAATCAAAATTCCAAATACAAGAGTCAATTTTGAATTTAATTTCAAGTATTTAGTATTTTTTTTTCTCTTTAGTTTTAATGTATTAATAATTTAAATCAATATGCGTATGTCAAGGACCATTATGATAGATTTTTAAATGTTTTTAATTTTATTATAATAAAATTAAAAACATTTCATATAAACTTTCTATTTTCATAAAATTTAAAAAATGTTTCACAAATTTGACTAAGCCTTGTGCGTAATGCCATGAAAATAGTTCGTTAGATATTATTATATTTTATATAAGAATAAGTATTTTGCTTTTCGATATAGTTTATTTTAAACTTTTGTTAGTTTTTGCTAATTTATGACAACCAGTATTTTACGATATTAATCTAAAATTATTTTATAATTAACATTAACAATTTTTTATACAAGGTTTCAGAAGGAACAATAAGAAGAATATAATTATTTTTGGGGTTATACTGTATTCTTTAAATAACAATTTTATGCGACTTTTATAATAATTGATTTATGTTTAAATTTTCGTTATGACATTTGTTTACCAAAGATATTTATTATGTTTTTATAGGTTTGAAAGATCTTCATTATGTTTTTATAGTTTAAATATAGGTTTATAGTTCTACAATTTGTTTCATTTCCCTGAAACTTTTCAAAAACCAGATACTGTAAATTGGAACCCAGACCCGAATGGCGTAGTGGGTAGTGTACCTGCCTTCTGCGCCGGAGGGTGTGGGTTCGATCTCCACTACTGGAAAAATATTGTGTGATGAACATAGTGTTTTTCTAGTATCTGGTTGTTTATATGTGTATAATATGTATTTATTTAAAAAAGAAAAGTATATTACACAGTACAGTACAGTAACATACTTAATGTTCATCAGTTATCTAGTACCCATACTATAAGTGTTGCTTAGTTTGGGACTTTAGAACGTTGTGTAAAAATGTGCCCTAAAAATATTTATTTATATAAGTATAATCAAATTATCAAAAATTAAATTCGTTAAAAAACTGTTGAAATATTATAATTTTAAAACTAGTAAATAATCTAAGATCAATTAGTATAGATTAGTATTTCGATTCAAAAATAAGTTTTTCGTCAAAAAGTCGTACATTGTCATCGTTAATGCAAGAGATGGGAAGTTTGGGTCGGGTTTTACAATTGTTTAAAGGTAGTTTTGAACGCCTTGGATCATGGCAACGTAACAAGTGCAATCACACGGAGCAAGTGATAATACCTGCATTGGGCAACAATTTGTCTCAAATGTTCAAAAATTATCCAATTTTTCTACAATCGTACCTTTTCGAGAAAACAGCCTTCCAAAAAAATCAGCAGAAAACGTTCAGTTTAAGTGATTTTTTTAACAAACACATTATAGTAAACTTATATTTTCGTTTGTTTCTTTAAAATTTAATTGTTTTAAGAAATTTATATTTTTAGTACATGTCCTTAACTAATAAAAAGTTTAATATTGCTTCAATACAGAACATTGATGTAATGGAGAAGAGCCCATAGTCTTTATTTTGTTACGTTCTGGACTAAAAAAATATTGTACAAAAATAAACAAAACTAGACTCGGGATGACTAGTCTTGTTATGTGAAAACGAAGAATACTTGATCAAACCCACCATTATTGGCTCAAAGAAACTCCCGCGTCGTAGAAACTAACGAGTCAATTGTGCTTATCATAGATGGTACAAAAGCTATGGATTAAGGAGACCCTTTATGGGAGGGAGAACTAAACGTGACTGATTTATCAATTAAAGTCAAGTCAAGTCAAAGTATATTTATTCAATATAGGCCTGACTTAAGTTCTTATTTAACGTCAACAAAAAATCTACCACTAAACTTCTACTTCACATATTCTAACTATCTTCACTAAACTAGACCTGCACAGAGCAAGAAACTCTGCGGTCTTGTTCTTTTTGTTATTATTTTTTTGATGCAATTATAAAGCGATTAACTTAAATAATTAGTGGTACCCACAGAATTGGGAAACACTGAAGCTGTGGAAAGCGAAACCACGTTCTCTGTTTTTTTGCTACAAATTTTTAATATGTCATCTTAAGTGCATAGATTAGCACTATGAAAAATTTAAACGGCCTTTCTACTTATGTTCCGGAAGAATTTTTCATGATTTTTTAAGAAATACTATTTGGAGACCTACTAATATCAGCTGTTGCATAGGAAATATTTTAATTTTAAGTGTGAATACGAAGAAACAGATTTAAAATATTTAAGCAGGGCTCCCATACAACAGACATGATTTTTTCCGGTTTTTATATATAATGGTACAGAACCCTTCGTGCGCGAGTCCGACTCGCACTTGGCCGGTTTTTTTACTACTACGACTTATAGTGCACGCGTTATGGGTTTCAATAGTGGATGCTGTATCACTACTTATTTATATTAAATATACTTATATTAAAATTCAAATAGGAAATTTCTTACAATTACAACGATAAAAGTGCCCGATGGTTTGCGAACCATTATTTTTACGTCGTATGTCTAGAATAATTCTTTTTTAACGTGTCCCGTTACATACGTCCATTTGTCTGTTAGCTAAATTACAAAAAGTATGAAATAAATCTTGTCACTCGTTTGGCACTTTTACTTGTATTACAACCTTCATAGGCCTTTCCAGAAAAAAAATTGTTTCATCTTTAGAAACGGAAGCTTCATCTTTTAAAATCGAATGCTGATTACTATGGCTTCTTTACAGGCGTCTGAGAAGCAGTAACTGTAGACACGCCACTTGTCTAAATACGTTCCAAGGGCATGCTCGTAAGTAAGTTGTGAGCCACATTAATAACGTTCGTAATAGAGCCGCGTTCGTCTCCGGCCGGCTACACAATTTAACCAACGCTAAAAGTAAAATGCCCTTAAGGCACAAATTATTATTATATAAGACCTGCGTACGACCTATTATGTCCTACGCATGCATGATCTTCGCCCACACGCACCCTACCCGCTTGTACAAGCTGCAAGTAGTACAAAATAAGTTCATCCGCTGTGCAACCGGTGCGCAGTGGTATCAACGCAAGGTCGATCTGTACAGCTATTGCAGACTCCCGACGATTCGCGAATATTTTAAAGACCTGACTAAACGGTTCTTCGATAGAGCCGAACATCATCCCAACCCTCTGGTGGTAAGCGCAGCAAATTACCAACCCGACACAAACGCGAACGTCAACAAGCGTCGCCCGCGAAACGTCCTCATCGACCCGGTCGAGGAAGGGGACTTAGATACGCCGGACCCACCGCCGGGGGTCCCGCCGGATAACACTACACCCACAGCTAGTGTACCAACAAACACAATAGTTCGCCCTCGCCTCCGAGCACGGCGAGACCAACACAACGCGTACACAAGGTACACCCGCGTTCCAGGGCGGTTCTCACCGCCCCCAGCCACCGATTAGCTAAAAACACAGTCGACGGCCATCGGGTTCTCGGTCCGACCGCAACTTCGATGGCCCTTTGATGACATGTCGTAGTTAAACGCACGCATGAGCACATGCGCGGCCCTACCCACAGCGGAGGGCCCAAACCCGTGGGTTCTGGCTAGCCCACCGGTTCTGCGTCAGATGAAGCTTTAATAGTCTCGGGACTGAAAGCAAAAACATCAGTTAATACAAGATACAAGAAGTTGTGAGCCTGGGAGTGTGTCAAGAACTTTGCTATTGATTCTATCTGACCTGCAGCTGAACGTATAAAATATGTATTGAAAAAGTTAATAAAACCCTGTAATTACATTTTTGATTTCCAGGGTCACTAACTTTAAAGAGTCTTGTTTTGGTGGTTATGAGATTCCATAACCTGGTTCACCGCCAACCGGTGAACTGGGTAGACGTGTTCACTTAATCACTTCTTCAGAATCATCGAAATTAAGTATAATACTATTAGTTTGCAGTAGTAGCGGTAGAAGTATATGTGCCCCTGTATTTATTCTACGTCACAACGTCCCAAGCTGACTGTCAGCTCAGTGTAAGGTAAGTAAATATACAAACCCTATTATGAAGTGTCGTAATTGTAATTGTGTATGACACCTTATAGTGGGGTGTGTATATTTTATAACATCAGAGGCAATAAATCCGAAATTTAATATCGTTGGACAACAGCAGCAAGATATATTTCTACACTAGTTCAGAATAACGGGCCTTAACGCTCCAAGTTCAAAGATAAATGTAGCAAATAAAATTTACAGTTTCATACGAAAAAATTTGGCTCACGTCCAGAGTTGAAATTAACGCTTCAAAGGTCTTGAAAAAATTAAGGTTATACCTACACGGTAATTTAAAATGGAATTGTTTTTTAATTTAACACTTACATTTTTTTTATAGTATGTACATTTGATTGTTATTGTGGCGTTTATGTCCATATTTTGAGGTAGGTATTATAGTTAGTAGGTATATAATACAGATTACGAAATTTAATAAAAAGTGTATTTATTAAATAAAAAAGTGTAACCTGGATTGTAACGCGACAATATATTCCATTTTTTTCTAACATTTTAAGGCTTTGCAATATACATTTTAATTATTGAATCTTCTAATTAAAGCCCAGAAACTATAGAATTTACATATTTCAAACACACCTGTCCGTAAAGAAAATATAAAACTAAATAATAAAAAAATTCTATACACGTTTGTAATATTACTAGATATTAAAATTTCAAATTAATGTATAATGAACATGTTATTTATATTTTTATGTTCAATTGTAGCATAGATACTTATCCAAATGAATGATCTTATACCAAATGTTTTAACTAAAACCTAATATCATTCAAAAACCTAGTTTAACTCTTTAAAATGAACAACAGCTATGTTTCATAGTAGTTTCTTTTCAAGACTATAATTACTCCATTTAAGAAAACAAATGAACGGCGATTAAGAAATAAAGTAAGAGAAACCCAGAAAACCGC